GTACTACATTCTGATACTACAGTACTACGGTACTACAGCCTGATAGTACGGTACTACAGCCTGATAGTACGGTACTACAGCCTGATAGTACGGTACTACAGCCTGATAGTACAGTACTACACTCTGATACTACAGTACCACACTCTGATACTACAATACTACAGTACTACTCTCTGATACTACAGTACTACTCTCTGATACTACTGTAGTACAGGGTGTACTACAGTAGTACACCCTGTACTACAGTAGTACACTCTGATACTACAGTACTACGCCCTGATACTACAGTATTACACCCTGATACTACAGTAGTACACCCTGATACTACAGTAGTACACCCTGATACTACAGTAGTACACCCTGATACTACTGTAGTACACCCTGTACTACAGCAGTACTCTGACTGACCACCTGTTCCTCCCCCTCCCACAGCAGAATAACCTCAGTAACCCGCCCACTCCACCTGCCTCCCTGCCCCCCACACCTCCACCTGTGGTGAGGCAGAAGCTGCTGAATGGTTTTGCCAGCACTGAGGAGCTGAGCAGGAAGGAGATCAGGGAGCAGGAAGGTGAGGCACACASGTCTCTGCTGTGTGATTGACAGGTCTCCAGCTCTTACCTGTACAGGTAACACCTGTTTTTACTTCAATGGTAGATGTGTCTGCGCTGAAGCAAAAGGAGGACGAGCTTCTCAATCTAAACCACGCCCCCAAGACTGTCCATGTCCCCGCCTCCCTGCCGACTCCGCCTCATAACAATCAAGAAGAGTTGAGGTGAGCAGGCCCCCCACACTGCAGCAGTTCTACCTGTGCAGAACACACCTGACCACCTGTCTGCTTGCTTGGTTTGCTCAGAGTGCAGAACTCACTGGACCGGGACAGTCCGGACAGCTACGTGCCGTCCTCGTCTCCAGAGAGCGTGTCAGACATGGAGGTCAGCAGGTACCCGGACCTGTCCTTCATCAAGCTGGAGCGGCCCTCTCCCTGCCCCTCGCCTACATTTCCCATCATCCCCTGCGCCTGGGGCAAAGGTAAGTCTGCTTCAGCCTCACCTGTCTTCTTGATGTAGTCACCTGCTGATCAGCTGCTTGCTTTGTGTTCAGGCTCTGCGGTGAAACAGGAAGTGAAGGCGGAGCCTCACCTGCAGGGACGCCCCTCCTGCTCTAACAGAGACCTGGTTACCATAACCATAACTCTGAACCCGGTCACAGCTCAGGTGAACAGCTGTCTGTCTCTGTCGACTCGTCTGTAGCCCCTCCCCCTTTATGACATCATGCTGTGTTTGCAGAACGTTCCAGGTGTGATGGCAGCGATGGCAGGACTGCTGCGGATCCCTGGACCCGTCAGCTACCAGATGAGCCGAGCGCCGGGCCCCGAGCAGAACTCTCTGGCTCTGCTAGCTGGGGTCCGTGTTCCAGTCATGCAGGTATCCACTTTGATCTTTACRTATTTACACCTGAGCCCTGTGAGCACAGCTTGACCTTTAACCTCTGGGTGTTCTGCAGGGTCCAGAACCCAGCAGGCCACAGAGGGCACCTGCCTCTGCAGGAAACCAGCTGCGCTGCTGCAGCCACTGCAAGAGGCTGCTGGGACATGGAGTCCACTTCAAACAGGTGAGCCTCAGACAGCGAGGCAGTGTACCTGCACAGGTCAGACAGGAAGTGACGGACAGGAAGTGACGGACAGGAAGTGACGGACAGGAAGTGACGGACAGGAAGTGACGGACAGGAAGTGGCGGACAGGAAGTGACGGACAGGAAGTGACTGACAGGAAGTGACTGACAGGAAGTGACTGACAGGAAGTGACAGACAGGAAGTGACTGTTTCACAGGAAGTGATGGTTGGTGTCTTCCAGGAACAAGAGTCCAGAACAGGATCCAGTCTTGTGTTCTGCAGTCCCACCTGTTCCAGCCTGTACCTGTCCAAGCTGCAGAACTGTTCTGCAGGAAGCAAGGTGAGGCTCTACACCTGTCCTGTCTCACACTCAGCTCAACATTACCCATAATGCACCTGTCTGTGTGTCCTCAGCCTTCAGTCCAGAGTCTGTCGACTGGACCAGAACAGGCTCCTCCCATCAGAAGCCAGCACCTGTACACCAACAACATGTCCTCTATAGCTGTCCACTCCCTCCCTCACACTCCTCCCTCCTCCTCCTCCTCCTCCTCCTCACCACCGCTCACCTTCCCTCCCGCCTCCGCCATCACCATGGAAACCAGGCCCCGCATGGACAGCCTCAAGGTGGGAGGAGTCACCAGTTAAACAGCTCAGGTGACCTCTGAGCTGCTGACTCATTAGGTTCTGATTGGTTCCCAGGTGAAGGTGAAGTTAAAGCCCCGCCCCCGGGCTGTGCCAGGTGGGGATGAATCCCCGTCGTCTCAGCATGGGAAGAGGATGAAGAGTTCCTGCTGGAAACGGTGGAGCGTCAGCATCACCCTCAACAGGTCCGAGTCCACAGAAACCTGAGACCTGTTCCAGAACCAGGGTCAGGTCTTTGGTTCTGGTTCAGTTTGATGTGAAACAGTCAGAATGAGATGAAATGTCCYGAGGGCTGAGCTGCTGCACACCTGTATTCTTCACCTGTGATGCTGTTCAGGCTTTCCCCACAGCTTCTCTCAGGTGCTGTGTGTTTCAGGACCTTTGTCCTTCAGCCTCTTCAGGTGGCTTACCTTTCTGAAAATACATCATTAACTATTATTTTAATATTACACATGAATTTCAATCATCCTATTTACAATGATTTAACAGTTTTTAGACCTCTGAAAGGTTGATTTATGACATTTAATCCTTATTAAGACCTTATTTCTGGATTGATGAATTCAGTGCCTGTTGACTCTTTAAGGACTCACGGGAACCCTGTGAAGGACAACCAAGCATTGTGTCACTCAAACACACACAGATATTCAGTGCTGTCTGGATTTTAATCTCTTCTGCCCGACTAAATTTAAGACCTTTGAGTAATGTATTTAAGACTTATTAAGAAATTAAAGATTTTTAAGGTCTTAATWTTAGATCTGTGAATTTAAGAGTTTGAAGAGTTTTGAAGGACCTGCAGACACCCTGCGATGGCTCTGATACTTTGTAGACTTCATCTCAGGTTAAACAGACTAGCCTCATGTTTGAACCATCAACCTTAAAGGCAACACCTGGTCGAAGACAAACACCTGTCWGTCACATGGTCCTGTAGTTTTAATCACTTTAAAAATGCTTTCAATGTATTTTAAAACATCTACACGTAGAAAAAGGAAATAAAAGAACCTACCTGACTTATTCAGTACTGTAGGTTCTGTTGGTCCTCCTCTGGGTCATGGTTCTGATATTTAAAAAACTTTAATCTCTTTGATTACACACCTGATGATCTGGTTCTCTCTGCTCAGGTGTGTTCCTAACGAGGCAGTTGCCATGCCGACAGAGGAGGAAATGGACGAGTTGTTGATGAAGTTGGGGGCGTGTCTTCGACCTGACCCGTTACCTAAAGACCAGCGCAGGTGCTGCTTCTGTCACCAGCAGGGAGACGGACTGACGGACGGACCCGCCCGGCTCCTGAACCTGGACCTGGACCTGTGGGTGAGTGTTCTGAGGGGGCCGGCCTCTGGTCTCAGGTGCAGGACTCAGACTGACCTGTCGTGTGTCTCAGGTGCACCTGAACTGTGCGCTGTGGTCCAGCGAGGTGTACGAGACCCAGGCAGGTGCCCTGATCAACGTGGAGCTGGCTCTGAGGCGGAGCTTAACGCTGCGCTGCGTCCACTGTCAGCAGACCGGCGCCACCACGGGCTGCAACCGCCTGCGCTGCACCAACACCTACCACTTTACCTGTGCTCTGCAGGCCCACTGTACCTTCTTCAAGGTGAAACACTCACACCTGGTGACACTCACCTGTTACACNTGCACCAACACCTACCACTTTACCTGTGCTCTGCAGGCCCACTGTACCTTCTTCAAGGTGAAACACTCACACCTGGTGACACTCACCTGTTACACTCACCTGGTAACACTCACACCTGGTGACACTCACCTGTTACACTCACCTGGTAACACTCACACCTGGTGACACTCACCTGTTACACTCACCTGGTGACACTCACCTGGTTACACAAACTCACCTGTTACACTCACCTGGTTACACTCACCTGGTTACACAAACTCACCTGGTTACACTCACCTGGTGACACTCACCTGGTAACACTCACCTGGTAACACTCACACCTGGTGACACTCACCTCTTACACNCACAAACTCACCTGTTACACTCACCTGGTTACACTCACCTGGTTACACAAACTCACCTGGTTACACAAACTCACCTGGTTACACTCACCTGTTACACTCACCTGGTAACACTCACACCTGGTGACACTCACCTGTTACACTCACCTGGTGACACTCACCTGGTGACACTCACCTGGTTACACAAACTCACCTGTTACACTCACCTGGTAACACTCACCTGGTAACACTCACACCTGGTGACACTCACCTGTTACACTCACCTGTTACACTCACCTGTTACACTCACCTGGAACACTCACCTGGTGACACTCACCTGGTTACACAAACTCACCTGGTTACACAAACTCACCTGTTACACTCACCTGTTACACTCAACTGGTAACACTCACACCTGGTGACACTCACCTGTTACACTCACCTGGTGACACTCACCTGGTTACACAAACTCACCCGTTACACTCACCTGGTGACACAAACTCACCT